TTTGCCGACTTGAAGTGTTTTTGTCCGTGTATTAAAATTTACAGCAGAACATGAATAAAAGTGACGTTATTTCAAGTTAAGCTGATTAGTCAGTCTTTTAATAACCTGTCATTTATAGTTTCATTACCTCATGGAAAAGTCTTCAACGATGTATGTCAAATGAATGTTCATCAGCCTTTAGATTTTCAAAGATTCTTTGGCTTCTGTAGGTTCAGAATAAATTATTGTCACTCCCTTTTTGCACTCATTGATCAACATCTAAAGTCCGATTATATGTGTGTAAATATTCTGTATGTGACTGAGTGACCATCGCATGCTCACGACCCAACCCCAGGTAGAGACATTCGCCAGTACACTCCAGTTTTGATTTTCAGAGTTCGTGATGTGAAGGCCACCAGCAATGGCTCTCACAAGGGCTTCGTCAGATAGTATGGCCAGTATCTGACTATAACGGTCAAACACTGGAGCTTAACGCAGGGAGTTCTGTGCACGTTTTTCCACATTGGGTAGTTCGAATTAAACTGCAAGACTGGATGCTTGCGAAGAGTAGGCAGACCAGCGGCAGTTGACGAGCATCCCCATGGAATGAGCCTAGGAGATGCACTACATAGTGAGTAGTCTGTGTTTGTCAGGCAAATTCGAAACCTTCAACACTAATTTGCTACACACTGATCAACAGTCACACAACAAAAAAGATAGGACACAGACCCAGAGAGAACCTGCATTCAGTACAATTCCAAAAATTAGAATGCGCTGGCCAAGCCCTTGCAAACAATAAGTTTTTTATTTCCGCTAGTGTCAAATTTCAACAACCGTTGTTCCTTTTGCAATAGGGAACTTATCCACAGGGATTTTCCTGAAAGAGAAAGAAAAGCACATTGTGTTCATTGTTTACACAAGTTTTCAAGCTGTTACAATATATGTGATATAGTGTAGACTTCAAAAGATTTTTCTCCCCTTCTTCATATCGTCAATTTATCTATCTCTTATTATCTGGTATGCGATCTGTAGTCTGAAAAAAAACTCAAGTTTCCAAGTCGTGTGATTATAATTGATATGATTATGAAGAATAGATTGTGTTCGAAGCGTCATCCAGTAAATAATAATACTGTTTCACTGTGTGATACATTTATTAAACAAATTAATATGGTATTACTTACTACCACAGTGCCCGAGACTTGCTTTACTCATGTCTTCACTTCAAAGGGTTTGCTGAGCTTTCAATCGTGTACTGCTTGGCATAAGGTTGACGAGGATTCGGAGAGCCACCTGGTGTCGAAGCAGTTTCTAAATTACTTCATGGTCAACCTTGTTGAAGATCTTTTCATAGCCACTGGAGTTAAAATAAACAGTTGACTGGAATTCTGTGCTCTTTTCGAAGGTGTTGGGTAGTGTTGGAATTCGGTCCGTATATTATTTGCTCTTCCTGAATTCAGCTTGTTCAAGAATCAGTCTTGTTTATACTGCATCGTTCACTCTCTCCAGGATGATGCGACTTAAATATTGTTCTTGGAGGACATGATGAAAACCAGGGAATATTCAAGTATTGGTTTGTAGGGATTTGATTGACTGGTTACAGGATTTCATCATGAGCTGGAATTGGCTGGAGAAACATTGGAAAACCTGGGAGTACTGGACAGCCGTTTCGTCTTAGTTTGGGAGTCCTCAGCAGGCCAGTAGTTACCTGGGTTTCAGTGGGAAGTCGTGAACAGTAGGGTGCAGCAGGTTGGGTGCGAAGACAAATACTCACCGAAGACATTGGCTAGCAGTCGCGCTATGTCGTAAATTGGCAGGAGTTAAAATTCATTGGCCATTGGATCGGTTCCCAGTGGCTTAATAGTTTACGAGATCGCTCGCCTTGTAACCATAAGGCCCAGGGTTCGAACCCCACTGGGTGCGTGCTGACGAAGAATCTCAAACTAGGACTAAACAGCTGTCCAGTACTTCCAGGTTTTCCAATAATTGTCTGACTAATGTCAACTCTTGATGAAATCTTGTAACAAATCCAGGGAATTTTGTGTTCACTAGGCACTTCTGATTGTATCCATTCACAGTTGATAGTGTCTTGAACATTTTAACATTTTGAACATTTAACCCTGAAATTGAATACATTACTTAGTACTTTATGCCGCTTAGTGCCTTTCATTAGCGTTTACAACATCCTTGACAGCACTAGTTGGATAATGGATATGTTTTCTTAGAGATAGAACCACAATGATACTGACTGACTAGGCTCTTTTCTTAGTGTCTTCAAATTATCAACCATTTCACTTAAACAGCGTCTAATTCTTATAATTTTAGATCAATATTTATTCGATAGAAATATAGTATTAACTGTTCACTCTTATCTGTCCTCAGTAGTGACTTCCTCTTCCTACCAACGGGCTATCTAATATAACATGTGGGACTCATGGTAACGAAACTCATTCCAAATATTTTTTTTAATGATTATAGCTTGATTCCATACCGTATTTTTGGTACAAGTATGGAATTTTCCGCATTTGATATCGGTAGCCCAAATTTTGCAGGCCGACCATAGATATCAGGTGTTCGTCGACGGGGGCTCGAGCCCTGGACCGTGTGCATGGTTGGCGAGAGTCCTAACCGCTGTGCCAACGACGCATGATGATAAAGATTAAAAACTATCCTAGTTTGGAACTCATTACCCAGCAAGCACCCAGTAATCCTTCAGGGATAGAACCTATTAAGTCACTTGAAACGAATTCCTCAGCTCATCGACTTTAACTTCTGCCAATTCGCAATGTATGGCTCGACCGCCAGTGAGTGTCATCGGCGAATATTTGTCCTCGTAACAGACTCGGTGGTTTCGCTGGGTCACCAGCAGTTCAGTAACCTAATAAGCTAATGGGAATTCTTTCCTTCTCCTCCCTCTCCTCTTTTGCTTTTCAATTTGCAATGTATGCAGAGTGATAACGACTTGGATGGTTTACTTGGTTGTTTAAAAATCGCTTATTCATTAAATTTGCTCTCAGTGTCACTTTATTATTCCAAGTATTTTGTTCTCATCCCTTAATAACCACTGTAATTTCAGCTGGTCTGAGGCTGACGAGAGCCTGTGAAATAAAATAACACTGTTTCTATGGAAATTTATCGGGGAAAGCACGTATGTGATGATAGCTAAGTCTTTGTTAATAGCATTTAAGCCAAAACGCAATGATGTAAATCAAATGTCTAATCCAATGGGGATTACCTCGGTGCACTAACAATAATTGAAGTTGAGCATTAATTCATAATTTCTTTGATTGACAGACTGACTCTTGTCTTCATTATTATCATTAATAACATTGTTCGTTCTTTGTGTTACAAGTAAAGCACATAGTACCAGACGCACATCTCCATTGCATTAGGTCCTCTGTCATCTCTTTCACCTGACTACAAAACTGCCCACAAGCTCTCATTTCCTCCGAAGATGATTTTCTACATGTCATACTCGAATTTCCAACTTGTTTTTTCCCACATTGGGTCCACCTCAAGGTCAGGAGTGCGATCACCTCTGAAAACCTCCTCAAAGTATGATCTGGCCGCCCCCATTTCTTTCTGCATATTTAGACAAAGCAATAGGAAGACGTAATTTGTCTGAATCGTGTAATGTCTCTATAATATGCTTCGCAATAGAAGAGCTAGGTTTCCTGTTATCACCATTAATGGGTTCTGAAGATTCTGTTTGTTTCTTGAGCCATTTAGGAACATGCTCTGAAGCCCTTACTTGCAGAGTTTGATGAGTCCTCCCTATGTATGAGACAGGACATGAAATTGACGTTAACAGATCTTTTAAACCTATCTATAAAACGTGTTTGGGGCGTATCCTAAAGTTTGTGGAAGCCCTAGCTGGCAATTAGAAAGTTTAAACCACCTTTATGCGTTCAAAATTAATTCGTTATCACACTCAAACTACCTTCCTTGGTCAACTTTGTTTTGATATCATCTCAGATGTACTATTACATCTGTTATTTGGTTTAATGATCTTCATTGTAATTTTGACCTTCGCTATGTCCTTTTAACTTGATCTAACTTGTCTATTTTCTCACCTCTTAACTCTTTATTAATTTCATATATATTCCTATGACAAGTCTGTGTGTGATCAGATTGTTCGAAATGTGTTGCACAAATACATTACACGATTCAGACAAATTACGTCTTCTTATTGCTTTGTCTAAATTCATAAAAAGGGGACTAATTGTTTTAAATTCTGCATATTTTTTAAGTCCTGTAGAGTAGTGGTCAGTCGACGGTTTCCTGTCGTAATCAGAAGGTTCTGACTTTGACCCTTGGTGGGGCGAAGGTTACGTACTACAGAAAACTCTCAAACTGAAAAGAAACAGCCGTTCAATGCCTTCTAAATGAAATGCTTCCTAGTTTATTGACCTATCCTAAGCTGAGAAAAAAGTGGAGAACAGGTCGTTGAGCTGGGGATCTGACGCTAGTGCGTTGGTGGCACAGTGGTTAGGACTCTCGCTGACCATGCACATGGTCCGGGTTTCGAGCCCACGCCGACGCACACCTGATATCTATGGTCGGCCTGCAAAATTTGGGCTACCGATATCCACGCTGAAAATTCCATACTTGTACGAAAAATACAGTGTGGAATCAAGCTGTAATCAAAATAAATAAATAAATAAATAAAATTTATAGTAAAAATTCTTCATAGCCACTGAAACTTTAAGGCATACATGAAGTAAACTTATTCATGGCTGGGATCGTGAAGACTGCTCAATTCGAGGACGGATAATGACAGACGGTGAAAGCCAATTCGGTGATCTGTTTTATTTATATGAAAGTATAAGTAAGCATTGAAGCTTCAGTCTACATACATTTAAGATACTGTATTAGGCAGGTGGAACGACGAATGAATATGTAGCTTAACTGTCTTAGTCACTAGCTTGTAACTTCTCAGTAGTATGTGAAATGATTGAAATCTCTTATCTCAAGTCCTAATGTCAAACTGCTGTGTGCAAATGCAATAGAATAAACAATTTGCATGAATTAATGTGTATTTTATTAAATAATTATAAAAACAGAAATTATGCAAAATGTCCGATATAATTTCTTAAAATGAAGATACCACTTAAATCAGCGTCATCTTGTAATCCACCTGAAGAAAAGAATAAAAAACAATGAATTAAAATCATTTCTAGTTCTTTGTTACTGAGGCATTATCTCAAACAGACAAGCATCCTAACAGGGATTAACACAAATCACTCCAACCCCTGTTTACTAAATTACACCGTCAATAAGTCAGTCTACCTTCAGTTTTGATCCCACCGCTCTACAACTTAAACAGACCGATAGTATCGTTTATCTTTTCACGAACTGAATACAACTCATAGCCTAGTGCAAAAGCCTGTGATTTGTTTTTGCCTATTTGCAGTGCAATTTTGATAAGGTCTGGCTTTTTTTAATTTTCTTTTTTGTATGTGCAACAGTGGTTTCTCAATCTTTTGAGTAGGTTATCGTAAGCGAATACTGACTGTATTAGTGGGAATACAAATACTACAGGATGTCTCAGAGTCAAGGACTGTAATTATTTGTCCACACCTTTGTGGATCTAGTTCAACAACTTAGTCAGTGACTGTTACACGAAGAGTCTTTTGTCTTCAGTGGTTACGACACTTGCTTATAGGTCAGATTTATTATACTGTTTTTTTTTTAAATCCTGACCCGTTTGTTTGTCTTCCAGCTGAGGGAATGCATCACAAGAACAGTAGAATCTCCGATCCTATTCCGAATCATATCAGTATTCAAACTCCCGCTCTCAGTATGGAACAATATTTCTTTATAACGGATCAGTTCGCCACTCCAGTAATACTTCCTAGATAGTTTCCTAACAGACATTACAGTCTCAGTGTATTAGTGTACACAGACAGTTTTAAAGAATTGGTCAATGTACTCTACTAATCCCCAGTAAATTGATTTGACTATTGAGAAAATTTTGTGTATTCCTAGAATTAAGAAGACATATACGATTTGATTATGAACAGTGAATTGTGCTAAAAACGTTATTTAGTTAATGGTCAAGTAAATATGTCTAATATCGATTTCTAATGCCATGCAGAAGTTATTTTATTATCTCAGGTAGACTAAGCAGAAATGTAATAGTATGCGTAAATGGCTCTGCATGTCTTTATGCTACTTTGATTAATTAACATTCAGTGAACTGGAACAGATTTCCTGCCTACAGTGTTATAAACCACACTTATTGTGTTGTGACAGACTATGGATACTATTCAGTTTTCCAGGTTGAAGAGGGATGTGTGTGTGTGTGTGTGCAAGATCAGAATCCGAGACTCACTGAATGAAAGTTAAATGCTCAGACTAATGAGCAACATCTTCAGAAGCTGTACTATGTGGAGTGTATTTCACAGGATAGTCAGTGTTTCTTTTAACATATTAGTGCAAAACATAAAGTTCAGTATCTATAAAAAAAAAACTTCAAATAAACTCATTGTTATATATTTAGGATACCTCTGTCCACCCTCCCATAAAGTTTTTAAGCAATAATTTCATTTACACCTCTGTCTTAGATGAAATGGAACTTCAGGACAATATTCGTAACTTATTATCAATAATTATGAACTGGGTAAAAATTGGGTGCTATTTGATTTAAGGGAACACATGAATTTCATACAGTTCAGAATCATAAAGAAAAGCTAACACTGAAAATTCAGCCTACACGAACTATTCGTGCCTTCCTTTCAGTAGTATTTCCATCCGACTTCATCGTCTTCATTTTAATCTTTATGCACTACTATCAAATTTTCTTACTCCTTTCCTTTTGTCTGAAACTGCATCAGTAGTTTATGTCTTCTCAACATTTGTTAGAGGCATCACGCTTTATTCTACTTATTACAATTTCTTATCAGTAGCTTCCATTACAAGAAGAAAAGTTAAGTTGTACAATAAAAGTAACTTGACTTGTCTCTGTCAATTCACTAGACACTTTTAAAATATTAATTTCACACACAGATCTACTGTTTATTCCAAATGAAATCTCGAGTGGTTAACCGATTTAATGTGAGAACTAGTTTAAATTTCCAAGCAAAAAGTCAATGTTCGGAGAGCGGTCAGTCTAAGTGGATTTAATGAATTCACAAAATAACTTATAATATACATACAAAATATATAAAAGAAACTTACTCTAAATTGAGTCATCTTCGTCGTAAGCGAAACTATTAAAATTAGAACTGTCATAGTTATCCTTAGGGTTAGTCATATCTTCGCCGATTTCCTGTTGAGTACCAGTAGTCTCTCCGCTGTCATCATTGAGGTCATTCATCCCATTTTGATCGTCAGTATTTTCTGTAGACTCAGAGTCGTAATATACCGGATTTTGACTATCATAGTTTTCATAATCATAGTGACTGAAACTATCCCAATGGTCATGATAATTAGCGTCGTATAGACTACGTGTATCATATTCGCCTACATCATTGTCATCATAAAATGAATCTGAAATATAAAAAGAACAGTTTGAGAATAATGAATCAATTATAGATTCAACGGGCTTTTGTCTTTCATTCTTATACACATGCTAAGTACTCTTATTATTTTTTTTTGTGCATAGTTTTAATTCCACCAACCTGACTATTTGGTTCCAGGAAGCCCTGACAAATCTTCACTGATAGAAACAAGTGAATACACAGATCACAGAGACTGGGTGTTTTGTTTTTATTCCAAGGCAGAAACCCTCAGAGTAATTTTTTCTTAGCCTTTAGAAGCCGTGTATATTCAGGCATTAAAAGCATTGCTGGAGATGACGTGATATATTTGTCAAAATGTAATGAAAAACCTTTTGAAATTTGTCATAATTTTAGGAATAAAAAGCAGTGAAATATTCAACTAATGAAAACGAAAGACGTAGTTCCACGAAGAGGTTCTTTTCGGCGAATTCATTTCGTCTAGCCGTGCAGTTGTATAAATATATGTGTGACTGTACGGCTAAATAAGAATATTTCGCTGAAAAGAAACTCCTCGCTGAGCTACGCGTTTTGTCTTCATTAACGAAGGGATGGGCGTTACTCATGAGTTAGTTCATGACTTCATTTTTATGAACCAATGCCATATAACTTCGTGAACAGTTGATTTCTCTAGATCATATCAAGGTATTCACACAACTTTCTAATTTTTTTTTCATAATATTTGACTGCTTACTGTTTTCCTTCAGGAGAGTTTCTCATTTTCCCAAGACTGGTATTGGCTGAAATCTATTACGAGTGCAAAGTGATGAAATGATTCGGTGTTTAACCTCTTTCTCTGCTTACCTCTCAGTTGAGCGCTTCTTATCTAGAGAAAGACAGCCAGCCAGCCAGCCAGCGCTATGCATTCTCTAGCACACAAAAAACTTACACGGAATAAAAGTAATGAAAAGTTATATAGTTGGATTTCAGATAAATACTCAGTATCATTTTTCATCAGCTGATTTTTCATTTTTTTATTTTCCATTTTTCATTTAAGACTTATTCAGCCAGTATGAACTTCTAAACTTATGAAACACAGTCTGTTATGATAAACAAAAAAGAAAATTACAAAGGATTAGAAACGAATCAGGACAACATGATTTATACATATATACAATGCTCAAAGTTATAGACAGTTATCTTTCAGGTTGGTACATCCGATATCGTAGATGGCAGTGTAATTTAAATTCTGTCGATGAAATTCTCAAAGTTACTGAAATTTACACACAGAAATGTATAGAATAATTATTTGAAGTTATTTTTGTTTTTCTCTCTCTCTCTCTCTCTAATTATTGCAAGATAATAGAAATAGTTGGCCTAGTAATTAGATGACTGTATTCCACAAACTTATATTCTTAATATTCAAGTTTTCTTTCATTCACTATTGATTGTAGATGTATGTAGATGTATGACTATTTTGTCATTATTTCTGCACAAACCACTGTTGTTCTTGCTTTATTCTAACACAGAATCTATGAATTTGAAGTTCTCCACAGTTGACCAGGGTAGCAGTAGTGGTTGGACCTGCTTCTTTTGCACACAGAGCTCCGGTTGATCTCAGTGAATTGCAGTGGCCTCTGCTGTCTGGAATCTTCTCTTCTATTATCCGGATGGATAATAGAAAATGATTCTTGAATGTTAGCTTTGTCGTCTGTTTACACAAGGTTTCCCAGTATAGAATTGTTAAGAGTCTTAATTCACCCTTATTGACCACATGGTTAGGCGTTCCCAAACATGAAAAAATGATCCGTTGAAGTACCAGCCAATATAACTGGCTTCACAGGATCAATCGAATTGATAGATAAAATAAGAGCTGGTTAGTCTACGTACTTTGTCGCTCACTTTCCGAATCACAACCAGTTATTTGGAAAATATAAAATCCAGCTTATCAGCACTAAACGTTGTTTCAATCGATTTGCTCAGCTTGTTGGTTGTTGTTTCACTTGGTATATCAACTCTGAATGGTGGTCATAAATATATTAAGACTTCTTAACAGGTAAAGTATTCTTTGAATTGAAATATTCAACTGGGTGTAGGACTTTTAATAAACTTTCATTTCCTCATCACACGATATCCTCGATGTTGCGCTGGGACGCCCAACTCGGCGCTTCCCATTCACTTTTTAATCAAGGATCTGGAGTGTCATGTCACTTGATGGTCTCCTCAAAGTATATCTGCTCCATCTCCCTTTCATGCTGCACATTTTTGGGATAATAGGTTCATAGCCGGCTATCTGTCTGTCGGAGTTTCTTGTTGCTTATCCCTTCCAACAATCAGATCCCCAGTATCTAGGAAACAAAGCCATCTGTTGATGAAGATCTGCGGCAGCCAGCTGTAAATTTTTTCCGTCACACTGGCGTCAAGTCTTAGAAGTTTATAGAAGCAATGACTAAACATTAATGCCTGCAATTCGGATTTATTTCTTTTTGCTCGGACGTAAAATAATTACTGTGACGAAACTAAGAAGATATCAGATAAATAATTGGGTTTTATAAAATTCCTAAACTAGTCTTTATGAGTATAAGTAAACGCTTGAACATCCCATCCTTCGTTATTTGTGTTACCCAGTCTGAAATCGATTACTGAAGGAACTTACCGCTGAAGAATACTGCATTATGCATGTAAATATTTATTTTATTTCCGAAAATTTCCTGTCAGATGAAATAGATATCTGACAGCCGTTCTGTTAAAGTTTGAGAATACCTAGTAGCTTAGACACTCCTCACTCTGTAAGAATAGCAGGACAAGGTGACAGTTTGAAAATCGAATGTAACAGCGTGGAGGTAAAGGTTTTTAACAGAAGCTTTACTTGTTGAATCAAGTGAATTTGCGTGTGACAGAAATGACTCAACACTTGCTCACCCGGATATCTGGAAAATCCTGGTACCCCTACGGTGAATAAGAAGGAATAAAGGAAACTTCGAAACGAGAGTTTCGAAGTTGTGCAGATATAATTGGTATGATTACGAACAATATTAAATTTCGTTCGAAAAGTCATCCATTAAATAACACCGTTTCCCTAAGTGATATACCTAATAAACAAATTAATATGGGATGTGGTTATTTGAGTGATAAAACTCAGCTTTATAAGATGTCAGAAATATTTCTAAAGCAATTTTCGTTTTCACCGACTTCAGACTATTTAATTAAAATAATATTTGTAAATACAAGTTAAAAAAAAAGAAAGAAAAAATCTACACAGTGGAACAGTATCATTTAAATGGATACCGTTTCGAACACAATTTATTGTTCATAATCATGTCATCAATTGTAATCACACGACCTCGAAACTTGAGTTTTATAGTTTTCTCTGTTCTCTCCTATTTGTCAACGTAGGCGTGGTAGTGGAATTTTCCAGATATCTGAATGGACAAGTGTTGAATAATTTCTATTACAAGTATTTGCAGTTGATTAGATGAATAAAGCTTCTGTTATCAATCTCTCCCTCCACTCTGTTACATTAGATTTTAAAACTATCATCTTATCCCATCATCCTATTGTATGGTTGTGTGTAATTGCATGTAGCGAGTGGTATAGCTGAACTATTCTCTAGTATTCTTATCTTATTCGGGTCAAGTAATCTAGATCTTACTAGGATTTTATGCTCGGCTAGTCTAACTGCACCTGTTCTACTAGCTAAACCTATGTATTTAACCTGACAATCATTCCAGCAGGGTATCAGATAAGCTAAATTGTTTTGTTTTAAAGGCTCCACAGGACCCTTTAACCGACAAAACTTGTTTCTAATTGAGTTTGTGGGTTTGAATGCCGCTTTTATTCCTACCTTGTTAAGAATTCTGCGTAAGGTGGTTCCCGAGGTTCCTTCTTTGTATGGAAGTACCACTGATGATTTAGATTCCTTATTGTCATTATCGTGTGCATGTTTGACATGCATGTCGTCGTTAATATTATCATTATTTTTATCACCATCACTAGTGTTATTATTTATTTTATTTTTGCATTTCCCTACATACTTTCTGACTAATTTATCAGGGTAATTATTAAGTTTCAAAGCCTTCGTTTCTGTCTTAGATAAGAAATCTGGAGAATAGTTCAGCTATACCACTCACTACATGCAATTACACAACCATACAATAGGATGATGGGATAAGATGATAGTTTTAAAACCTAATGTAACAAAGTGGAGGGAGAGATTGATAACAGAAGCTTTATTCATCTAATCAACTGCAAATACTTGTAATAGAAATTATTCAACACTTGTCCATTCAGATATCTGGAAAATTCCACTACCACGCCTACGTTGACAAATAGGAGAGAACAGAGAAAACTATAAAACTCAAGTTTCGAGGTCGTGTGATTACAATTGATGACATGATTATGAACAATAAATTGTGTTCGAAACGGCATCCATTTAAATGACACTGCTTCATTTTGTGATACATCTAATAAACAAACTAGTGTGGAATTACTTACTACCAGAGTGCCCAAGTTTCACACATATATCAAGAACAAATCTAAACCAAATATTTACTTTAGAACTCTCTAACAACACAGTGCATGAGGACTTAAATATTTCTCACAGGAATTTCAACAAAGATAGCGTTAGCATTGGTGGGGAGTAACATGTATTCAAAGGGAATTTATAATAGAATTTCAGTTGCCTTGGTAACGTCCATCTAAACAACTTTCTTTCTTCTGATTTCATTACTCTGTGCTCTCCTTCCTCTCCATGTTTTGCTTGAATTTCATATCAGACTTAATTTTCAACCCGCTCAATTTGACTCACTACATTACATGATCATCTCTATATTCAACTTCGTACACACGGGAATTTTGACTTTTCGACTTTATGAGTGCTAATCACTGCGACTTATCACCATCATGTCGACAAAACTTTCCAGTTTCTTCTTAAGAATATATATATATATATATATACCAATAATGACCTAATTTTTCATCCTCATGCTGCGTTTCCCTATGACTTTCGTAAAGCAATCCTTACTGTAGGGCTGATTCACGATAAACAGAATGTATTTTAAAACTGTATTATAACTTGTTTCATCAAATATTTTCATTTCTACATAGATGATGAGGACCGACGAAATAACGTGGATCCACATTATTCTGCACCAATGTTTTTTCTGTCTCTGATGCAATTAAATACTTCCATGAAAGCTATGAAATTATTGGGGACTGGAGATTATTCTTAGTAACAACTATTCAATAAATGATTCAACAAAATGTTTAAGGCGAGCACTAAATAAATCCAAATTGACTAGTCATATAGAAGTAAGTAAAATCTGCTCAAATGACAGAAACGGATGTCTAGCACTCTATTTTACCTTTCTTCAGTCAACAGAATAATAGACAAACAGGTGAGTATCAACATTCTCTATAGATTCTAGTGTGAAGACTTAATTTCCCCACACTCACCCTATGTTACACATTTCGGTAATAATTTCCAAGCACGTGCTTCGACAATGGTCGTTTTAATCTCCACCTGTGACCATTTTTCTTTGCTAACCTTGTTGATAAGTAGTATGCCGTGTGGTAATACGTATAGATGCATAACAAAAGTGAATCTTGAAAGGTAACCTATAAAGGAATATAGAACATGTTCCTACTGCTTAGTTTATAACTGATCAACAGGATGAATACATAAATCCAGATTGTTACATAACCAGTCATACAGTGATAATATGATTATTAAAGTACAATTAATAAATGTATACGGATAAAACCTACGTATATGTCCATAAGTTATTGAAATCGACACTGTGAAAAAGAGGAGGGCATTTCTAATCGGTGAAGAAATCATTCTTCAGTGATCAGTGAAAGCGATGAGGTGATGAAATACTATCAAAAGTGATAATGCACAAAATTTACATATATGATAGGAAAGCGGGAATTGCATTTATATGCCAAACTGATTTCGCCCTACCAGTATTTTGATTAGTTGAAACAAACTCACCGCCCATGGCTAGGTTATCTGCAAACAGAGTAAACTGACTGGTTAATTTTGCAATGTTCAGTAAAAAGTACAAAACCATACTTCTGTCATTATTCAGTGAACAACAAAAACACTGCTAATTACAAAGCGTAATAGTAACAGTACATATATCTTCTTTTTTTAAAAAAAAAAAAAATACACATTGAATGACGGGATAATTACGATGTAGGAAAAACCGTTAAATATTTAGCTTAGTATTATTAGACTGGAATAGTAATCCGGATGTAAAGCAGTGGTATAAGTGTTTACTGGGAATAATAGTTGTGGTCTAAATATTACACTGCATTAGGTTTTGAAACATTCATTATTCACCGACCACTCTTCAATAATCCCTCTAATTTATGATTTATTTGCTGTCTGTTCAATGGCATTTTTGAATACTTTATAAATGTAATTGGTATGATGCTTTAATCTGATTGTTAACGAGGTATGTTTAGTGAGTTGAACACCTTCTTTACTCAGCTTTAACAATAGTCTGAGAAAAGTGCGTATGCTCTACTGGTTGGGATATATGCTTGTTTTTACGAGTTTTACCATGAATTGATATCAGTTAGAGAACCATTGAAAACAAGTTGAGAGTACTGGACAGCTGTTTGCGAATCATCAGCAGTAGGCACGATTATTCCCAAACTAGGATGAAACAGTTGTCCAGTACTCTCAGCTTGTTTTCAATGGTTCTCCAGCTGATATCAATTCGTGATCAATTCGCTAAAAAACTAATCCCTACAAACTATCTATAGAAAATTAATATCCACACAACAAATTCGGTCTAAGAAATTAATTCACTATCACAGGTATATTTTTAAGTATTGGTTTTGTCGGGATTGTGCTTAATTGGCTGGGGGGGGGGGTTCATCACAAGCTGACATCATTTGGAGACCCATTGGAATACCTGGGAGTGTTGGAGAGTTGTTTCGTCCTAGTTTGGGACTCTTCAGCAACATGCACCCAAAAGGGGTTCTAACCCAGGATGTCGTGGTCACAAGGCGAGCTCGTAGACCATAAAGCCACTGGGAACCGATCCCATACTAGGACGAAAAGGCTGTCCAGTACTGCCTGCAGGTTTTCCATTGGTTCTCTAACTTATATCAGCTCATGATGAGAAGCCTCCAACCAATATTACAGGTATACTTCTAAAACACTTCACCTAAAGAGTGAACAACTATCTACTGCAACTTTTTACAAACTGATAATAATTAGTCACCAGTGAATGAAGGATATTATTCTCGATAACCTTTTCTCCATCAGGTCTTACATTTATGTGAGGATAAACTACATTAAATCAATAGTTTGGATAGGTGATTACTGTTCAAAAGCATCAGTAAGAGAGAGAGAGAGAGAGATAATGTACATTAATATAACACTCAACTGAATACCTGGTAAATTAAGAGAATTAAAACACAACTCATGAATTCAGAGGTTCCATAGCTTTGTTTCTCCTCTGTATGAAAGAAATCCACTTGAGACTCTGGGCTACACGGTCAGACGTATTTGTTCAGAAGATGCGATTAAAGACTAAATTAAGGTTAATGCAAGACAGATACCTTTAAAAGTTCATCCTTAAACACAAGGTCAAAATATCAGAAAAGAATTTGGTATCTGTAAAGAAGCCTTGGAGAAACAAAATGCCGAAAAGTACTCCCTGAGGTGTTATCATAGCCGTGGACTTTAACTGCATATCCAAGTAACCATTTAATTAATATAACTCATTACTGTATATTTTTTATAATATACTGTTACACTACCATCTCTTCAACTTGGAGTTTTATTCACATACTCGTAATGTTATTGATCTCGCAAGACAGTCCCCTACATTGGAATATAATTATAATTTATTTGATCTATTCCACAATGCAAAAACATTTTATCAACATTAACGTTTCGTGATATTTAGGGGCATAAATTGTAAGATTCCCCAAGTCATCGGTAATTATGAATATGCAAAATATTCAGGATGATAGTAAGTTAAAATTATTGATTTGATTTCTGATTTATGAACAATGGATTCATTAAATGTTGATGTAAATAACTGATGGTGAAGAGAAACAAAACATTTACAACTGATGAAAACTACATAACCAATTAAAGGTAGAACGTCAAGTCACCAAGCAAGAGAGAGTGAGAGAGACTCACTAAAGCTTCTTTTCGGGTACATACATTAGATAGAATTTAGGAGTCCTGAACACATTTGTTCTTTCAGTAACTTGAAAGAACAGAAAGCATCCGCCTACATGATGTCCTGTTTAAATCAGAGGGCATGTGATCACACTATTTCAAGTTCTGTTGCATCATACTAGTAGAATTTTCAGTGTCAGTTGAAAAAAATCCAAGATAGGCTCTTATTTCTCTTCTTTCAGTGTCTCCGACTCGGTATATGCAGGTGGTTTCATGTGCACGACTGGTGGCAACAGTATATAAAGTGCGTCTGTTGACTTGAAAGTGAACTAACCAACTCATTTTTTGGTACACAAGCATATTAAATCAGCTGTGGGAAGTTTTGCTTTATTAACTTACATTGCTTGCAATAAATCGAATTAGGGGAGGAAGCTATGTTACGACTGACCAACAGTTTCATAAGTGATGATAACCCATTGGTGGATGGTGGCTAGCAGTGGAATCCAGGATGCGCATTTCGTCCTATTTGGGACTCGTCAGCTGGATTTACCTGCATTTCTCAGTGAGTGATGATGTTCCCACCGAGGCTCTAACCCAGTACCCATAGTTTCAAACGCCAAAGCGTTATCCACTAGACCACTTGGGCCACTATGGGTACTGGGTTCGAGCCTCGGTGGGAACATCATCACTCACTGAGAAATGCAGGTACATCTAGCTGACGAGTCCCAAATAGGACGAAATGCGCATCCTGGATTCCACTGCTAGCCAACATCCACCAATTGTACACCAATTAAATACCCAGACATCGTCGAAGCATCTTCACAAGAAGCCGACATGTCAACCTGAGACCGAGCACTTCGGTCCAATCAATCGACAGGAAAATCAAAAATTCAATTCAATGATGATAACGCATGTTTAAGGGAGATGGTGCTCAGAAGAGAAGTTCAGCTAACTTACACTTTGACGACTAACTTCAAATGAATAAGTCAAGGGAACTGCACCAATTATCTTCTTTGACCAATTAATCACACACTTTCTAAGATGCACTATGTGGAGAATTCTCATCTTCCACGTCGTTCCAAAAAAACATTATAATGAAATTTATATGTACAGGTCTCCATAACTATCGAATAAGTGAAAAAGTTGTACATAAGACTCTGATATTATCATAACTTAATTTATTAATAACTGTAGTATAAGAACTTAAGAGTGAATTATTGGTTTTCTACGTGTTCTATGATTACGAGCACTATTCAGCTACAAAATTCACAATGTACTAATTAATTAAAATGAAATTCCAGACTGAACACAGTTTTTGTTCACCTTAAGCCAGTCAGCAAAGAGTAGATGATATAACCTACACACCCAATCAGACGTTCAGGTATATTTCCAGCCTGTATATAAGGAAGAAACATACTACAGTAATAATAATTTAAATCATACCATCTCCGTTTATCGTCGAAGAATGAATTCGTCAGTAGTCAATGCCATTCTCTTCTTCACTGCCACCATCGTATGGATTCACGGACAAGAATGTAGGTCTGAATTGTGTATTGAACATAATTTAAATGTTTTTATTTTTTACAACTCACCATGCATTCATGCGATTAGACATAAAGCTTCATAAAATAGATGTATCTCCGTAGTCGCATTATTGCATACTATAGGTTATGTGTATATGAAATTCAGAGTTACTGAATACCAAATATGATGTAGTCAGAGATTCGTTAGTAAATCGGAGTATGCAGGCTGCACACAACACATTAGCGGATCTTACTGATTGATTGAGAGTGGAATAAGTGCCACGTTCTCTTGGATGTTGGATATGAGTCCGTTTAGATGAAGTGGAGCACTTCCAAATAACTTTAGGTGAGCACGACTAAGGTAGTTTTATCAAATTGTGATTTCTCATCACATAGACAGTTTGATAGAATATTTCTCTGCTTCTGAAGTTATTTCCACAAGTGATAATCAACCCCAATAGTATGCATCTTTGAAAGCCCATTGCTTTAACATTCAAGTGTTGGTTTGCAGAAGTGTTATCACTTTCAAAGCAGATCCCATCACTGAAAATCAGGGATTAATGAATAGCTATTTCTTCTCCGACTGATGCTCTTCAGTGCTGTGCACCTATGAAGTCACACTGTATGCAACTCACGACTTTCAAATTAAAAAAAACAGTCACATTAGCATCCAGCTACTGAGTCGGAATCTAATGTCCTATGGATTTCAGGATTTACAGATTCATTATATATGTACATATAAGTATATATGTAGTGCCACCGCTAAGCAATATCAGTTACCTGTCCTCATACTCGACTGTTATCACTCAAAATTAGACAAGAATATGGTATTCTTGGAGTTCTTACAACACAGAACTTATAGAAACTAAATGAAATAGGTCGGTGATGTTTTGAAATTGGTGTGTAGATATTTAAGCATACACTTGTGCGTGTGTGGTGGGATGAATGAAGCAACTTTTGGAATATTTATTGGTACTATGTATTTACCTACATGGGATTATTCATTAATTTTACACTAATTTTTCTTGAGATTTTATTATCTGCTCCCACACAGAAAATTTCTGTCAGTGACTTCCACCTTTGTGCTCAGAAACTAAGGATGACGTAGTATTATCATAGTGACATTTATTTATTTTACTGAGGATGCCCATTAAAAATAAAAAAAAGCTGAGTTTAGTGAACAAAGAATGTTCTTTTCGATAACCTTTTCTTCACCAGGTCCTGTCGCAATAATCCAGTTTGGTTAATATATTTCAATGTATGTGTAGACATATTTAAACTGTGGTAATATTTAATTCCATGACGGTTTACCTATTGAACACATCACATAGTGGAACAGTATTATTTATCGGATGATGTTTTGAACAATTTCGTATTCATAATCATATCAGTTACATATATCTGTCATAGTAGGTTGGTGCTTGCTTTATTGACTGCTATTTATGGCACCAAGCAGATTGCATACTGTGAATCTTTACTTTTTGAATGTTATTCAATACTCTCACCAATCACTGTTGCTCAGATATTACACCGATGGAAACTATGGAAGTCGTTATTTGCAAAGTGTGCAGTCCGAAATGAAATTTCATGATGGTGTCCTTAGAAGTTTAAAAATACTCAGACTACAGTATGTATGGCCCACTTGATATAGTAATCAGCGTTTGGAAACCTAGAAAAAGGAACTCACCGCATGCTACTTATTAGTCTGAGTATTTGGAGCCCAATTTATCTCCCTCGATCGGACAATGCATTTTGAAATATTAAAGTCGTTGATATTTTTGCAGTGGGTAATAATTTAAGAGTGAAGTGAAAACTTATGTATGAATAGGTCTCAAACCACCATTATTCAGACTAATAGTTCGAAATTCTAGTAGTAGAGCTATGTAACCTAGGTGGTTTAGTAATCCAAAGGCCGATAGCTCGAAACCTGAATATGGTCAGATTTTAACCTTATTTTTTATTTATTTTATTCCTATGAGTTCTAAGTGGAAAAAAGGGCTTCAAGCTAGGACTTTGAAGTTTTCTAAAGGGTGGCACTGCTAGCCTAACACCCAACTTTCCTTCTCTACCCGGCTCACTACTGGCTAAGCGAGGTAAAAGAGAGTGTCATCCGCGTATCAAACTCCAGACCACTTGCCTGGTTGGCCAGTGTCCTACCACCTAACCACCAACGCCTTAACCTGGACTATCTCCATTCTCACAAACTGTAAACTGACAATCCAGTGATATCTCAAATGGTCTCATCAATAACCCATAATGTTTTTCTTTATATTCCAACAGTGAAGTGTACACTGTGTCCAATTAATTGACGATTCAGAACTAATGTTTTTGTATTATAGCCTATTTATATGACGCTTATGACGATGTACTAATGCACTAGAAAGTGATGAACCTAGAAGCAAATAGAGCATACATTCAGCAAATCATTTAACTGAAAATCTTCGTCACTCAGCCAGAATCAACAACAAAATTCGCTCGGATTTTCAATACAAACGTCAAGTCAGTTCTTCTATACGGATCGGATCAGAAACTTGGCGGGCGGGTCACAAAGAATATTTCCAACAACCTGTTGTAGACCTGCATCAAGAACTGTCTTCGCTGGCTCTATACTGAAGATCAGATGGCCGGGCTGGAAAAAGTCACCAACAAGAAACTATGGGAACAAACAAAGCAAGAACCAATCGCTAACCAGCGAATATGCAGGAGAGAGTGGAGATGGATGGAGATGGACACTCGCTGAGGAGACCTCTGGGAGACATCGCGCGTCAGGTCATTGCTCTAGTGGAACCCGAAAGGGAAGCGGCGAGCGGGACGTCAGGGCAAGGGTGACATGGAGGAGATCGTGTGAAGAGGAGTTGAAAGAGTATGAACTAACATGGATGCAGGTGAAATGTATAGCAGAAGGAAGACAGAAGCAAGTAGAGACGTGCAGTTGAACCCCTATGTTCCACTAGGAACCCAAGGGAACAATAACAATAACAAATAATTTAACTTACACCTATCCTACAACTTGCAGTAAATAATAATCAAGGAAATTTTAAAGTCCCTTTTCTTATTGAATTCTCCCCAGTGCTGTTACCTTCTCCATCTTCTCGACCTTCTGCCTTCCTCTATTGGCTTTCCCACTGACATACAATTTGTCATTGACTCTTCCAAGACGTTACTCAATACTACTTCTACTCATACTGCTACTACTACTACTACTAATACTACTACTACTACTACTACTACTACTACTACTACTACTACTACTACTACTACTACTAATACTACTACTACTACTACTACTACTACTACTACTACTACTACTACTACTACTACTACTAATGCCAGTATTACCACTCATACTGCCACCATGCCGACTACTGCACGACACAAGAGTATTTGACAACGGAATTATGTGTCAGTAACTGGATGTGCAGATATAGGCAAAATATGTCTACAATTTAACAAAATTGCAGCCCTTACATGGTTCCCAAATTGTCCTTCTTTGTCTTCATTTCATGATTTCACTTCTGATTCAAAAGCATAGTTCATTTCCTCTCTCCACCGTTAAATCCATCCCTACCCTATTCGATATTCTTTCAAGTGATATACATATTTACATGTATAACTATATACTACTTATAGATCTGGTCAGTAGCACACGCTATACTACTACTGCTGCTGCTTACACCTGTTTATTAATACCACGCACCATATTGTGTATACTCTAGGCATAATTAATGAATTAATTAATTGACCAGTTTTTTTTAACACTGATTTTTGTACTACAGATTATGCATATCATGACCATGTTGATGTTCTACCGCAGATAAACGGAAATGATAGTGCTTACCAACAAAATTACCGTGATCTACAGTATGAAAGCTTAGAAATAAAAGATTATCAAGTTGAAGAAGCTTTAGACGATGATGATTATCAATACATTGCAAAAATGTTGAACAGTAGCGAGGCTGGCGACATTCCGAGTAGTTCTGAGGATGTCTTCACTGACTCTGATAACTCTGATGCTGATAACTCTGATGACGATAACTCTGAAGATGATAATAATAATAATGATGATAATAATAATAATAATAGTAATAATAATGATGATGATGATGATTTTACTGATGACAGTTACTGGCTTCATACTGAATCCTAGCCCAGGTAATGTCCATATGGACGGGTAAGTTGTTGCACACATCTGAATGACTGTAATTACTTAGCCAATTTCTTATTTCGTTTGTTTTAAATGAAAGTTTTATACCAACAATGAAGTTTGACTAAACATGATGCTGCTCTCAGGTATCGTTTGCAAATTCGATGATATAACATCCATCTAGTCGTGAGGAGGCATAAAGCACTAGAATGATTATCAGGATATAATATCGCAAACAGTCTGTATCAACACTACTTATTTTTGAACTAGTAATTGATTTTCAAAACAATCGACTGGATACCTAATTACGTTCAGTACAGTTTAACCACAACCGGTCATGCTAATTTCAGTTAGTCTATTCATCTGTTTCCACAGCTTTTCATATTGAAACTCTATACTACTTATGAGTGTCGAGTAGTACGATGTATCTATATGTATTTATTTAAACAAAAGCTTGGTACATTATGGCCACTAACAGATACGCCACACAAAACCTCACAGTTTGTCCTTGTGCTGAGATACTTCCCAGACGAACAGATTCTTTCAGGTGGTTGTCTTAAGGGGCCATATACCGAGTGTTTGAATTGAATTCTGCTCTACAAGGCAGCTGAGCATCGTCAATAACTACGTCACCATGGTTTGCAGTAAGCAATACAGGTTCATACACCCTTCGATCAATCAATGTCTCGTTTATTATGTTGAATTGCACCTCTTCCATATACAAATTTGATCTGCAGCTTAAAACTTCATATGGTTTTAATTTTACGATAGACTTTTGGACACACAGCTACAGATAGAACCACCAGTCAACATAGCTTACTCAATTATCAAATGTATTTTTGTTGTAATTATTTGTAATCGTAGTATTAGTATTTCGAGATGACCGAATTACAAGAATCCAAACAAAACACAGAGAGGGCGGAATTCAGGAATTTGTATTTAGCGGTATTATAATGCAATTCATATAAGAAATATATTAACAAGAAACAGTATGTATTTAAACAATACGGAGATAGAAATTGTCAATCACCACAATTTTCCATACTTCATCTTCAAAATGATTTCGATTCCTTTTCACACAGAAATACTCACGCATGAAAAACCAGAGGAAATATCACATTAATTTACTATTACACTGAATCTATCATTTCGATCACCACGTTGTGGTGAATGCTTTTGTAATATGTTACAGCCTGCCTCTAATCATAGCCTACTATCGGAGGTGAATCTAATTAGCATCGGTGTTAAAAGCTTGACACTGTGGAGCGGTACAATTTCTCATTACCTTCCTTACTTGGTATAGCACATAATGAGACAGCTTAATGTATTGCTTGCACGTTACTGGTTCACTAGTAGAATGCTAGTCAACCGCGCATTTGTATGAGGCTCGACTTCTGGTCGACATACTACTAAGCCTCGCCTAGTTTACTTGCCGATAGAAGGCCCATAACAAAAAGAAATGGTTAGACATGGGGCCATCAACCTTATTTACTAAAACCGCCACCGTTGCTAGTTTCAATAGACAATTAGGGATCAAGCACACTGTAGCAAATAATAAATGAGAAGAAGAACACAGATCATGGTTGAAGCGCTTTATCAATAATAGTACTTATGCTACGAGAGAGACACCAACGTCCACACACAGAAAAGAGTAGTACTGTTATCGATCACAGACCACACTTTTTGAACTAGCGTCTTCTTCTCCACAATCCCGGCCACTACACTACTGAGACTTTAAAAGCCTGGGGCCCGAGAACAAGGAACAAACAACAATTTATTGCACGTGATACATCGTAATGTTACATTTTATCTTTGAAATACTGTGACCTATCATAATGCAAGTGGCACGATGCTGAGGGAAAATCTGTCCTGTCATCATTGTTATAACTATAACCCTTATCCCTTTGATCTTACAGTGTAAACTACTTTTGTCTTCACCTTTTCTTAGGTAAAATAGAGGAAAAATCATAACCTGTCAGGATTTGTTATTTACTGATTCCACGTGAACGTAACTGAATGCAAATTTACACATGATTATCTTTGATATATACAACGATTCGAACAAATCCAATGATCTGCAGTGAATTTACTGTGTTTATTATCATATACCTGTAGACTAGACGTTTCATCCCTTAATAATTTTTGATATAATATTATAAGTACTGAAAAATAATGCAGTTTTATATTCAAATATCGAGTTATTAGGTATGTGGTGTGAATGCAAGAGATATTTCGTCATAACTGAATGTCAGTCAGACAGCCATTGATACCTAAATAGTAAAAGATGCTCTACTGAGTTTTAATTCAGCAGAAATATGGTCGAGTCGTAGCCTGGCTTTCTTGTGGTCATTTTACCAAAGCAGTGAGGGTAGAAACTGCAGGAGAATTGCATACTTGAACTGGTTCTCTAACTGGCGCTGCCTTGATGTTATACACGACAAGCGTCACTGGTACAAACATATATCGTCAATAAGTTCTCCAACAGGCTCTACAGTTAAAAGCCTATATAAAAACGACAGCGGAATTAATTTACCATCTACATATACAAAGTTCGAAGAGAAAATTCATCATGACTTCCTGTGAAGACGTATAATATTCAGATATTAATATGTGACCTGCTTGAAATCACCGGTGACATCAAGAAAGAGAGCGAAATTACAAGAACGTCTACACGACTTTCTTATAAAGGTAGTTCAGAGCCACCGAATCAAAACTAAAATATTTTCTGGCCTGATCAAGATTATCTAGAAACCTAGTAGGTACCTTGCAGAATGGTAACACGTAGCCATCGGAAGCCAGGCATTAGAGCATTTCAATATCGAAACACAGCATCATGAGGAAATGAAGTGAACAATTACTTTAATTTTGATTTTGGTCTCAAATCCATGTGAATACGACAATTAAGTTTGCATGATAAATAAGGCAATGGTAGTAATAACGAATGGGATAATAAAATTGAAAGTGTATGGAATGGAATTCCATATTAGTTTGTTTATTAGGTGTATCACACAGTGAAACAGTATTATTTACTGGATGACGTTTCGAACAAAATTTATTGTTCATAATCATATCAATTGTAATCACACGACCTCGAAACTTGAGTATTATAGTTTTCTCTGTTCTCTCCTATTTGTCGTCGTTGGGGTAGTAGAATTTTCCATATATCTGGAACAGTTTCACTGTTTCACCTAATAAACAAACTAATATGGAATTACTTACTACCACAGTGCCCAAGTTTTACACATATATTGTATGGAATGAACTTGAATCAACGTAAATAGTTGACATGATGGAAGTAGATAACACAGAGCCTCAATGTTATTTTTCTTTCGAGCGTTCTTAAATTATGCAATTACCCTATTGTAGGCCAACGCAAACAAATTGGATGCATGAATTTCTTCTAGATGTAGAGATTTCTTCTTCGTACTAATTGATAGCACTTCACTGAGAAGCATACTACAACTTATTGCAGCTCGGAACAGTTCAATCCGTGTAGATAACTGCCTCCTAGAACACCAACAGAATATATTATGGCCGTCAACGTTGAGAAATATGAACATAAATATTATCCTATCCTGCCCATCGCTACCTTCTTAGCACTGGAATGTGGATTTGAACACATAAATGTCAATATTATCTACGTTTCTTAACTTCAGTTATATCTTTCACCAGTATAGACGTATATAGAAAGCCTTCAAGAGCATTAGTGTTATAACTGTAGGGAATTGAATGAAGACGTTTTCACCTTATTCTGTCTGCGCCTGAACTAATCTGTCTATCTGCTCGTCGTACCTTCCGACTTAGTAAAGCACGCAAATATCAAAAGACAAAGGCTGGACTGTGACTGTGTATTGAAGTGCAACAACGATAAAGAAAGCCATGGTATTTATACATTTTACAACAATATGGACAGCTAACAGCATTTGAAATAATTGACCTTAATAGCCAATAACAAAGTGTGTGAGAGATGATAATATACCATATGTGCGACATTGACAGTCAGTAACAAAATGTGTGGGAATGATAATATACCATATATACAAAATTAGCAGTCACTACCAAAATGCGTGAGAATGATAATATACAAAATTAGCAGTCAATACCAAAATGTGTGAGAATGATAACATACCATATATGCAAGTTTAAACAGTCAATACCAAAATATGTGGGATCCTATCACCTCCCCCGTAAAGAGTGTAGGACTTGCTTTTTGGATCTATTTGAAAAGGTTTCGGAGCTCTTCTTTGTCGAGTTGACCTTTGCGTGGTACTGGATAGAGCGTGATCTGTGTGTCTGACACATAACTGTCCTTTTTCATTCGTACGATAATGCAGCAAGAATTTATCCAAAATTTCTTCTGTTGTTCCCTCCCCCTTCGCTTTTGCATAAGCACGCTTAAAGGTGTCGACGAAACGTTCAGTCTGTCCATTCGATTGGGGATGATACGGGGGGCTACGAATATGCTGGATGCCAAACAGTTTGCAGCAACCAAGTTTGTCCTGGAAGACAGAAGCGTGCTTTTGACGACGGCGTTGCAAGAGAGATTGATCAGATACATCTCCGGGAACAACGTTGTGTGGTGAAGACGAAACATTAGAGCATACTGAATTTAATGGTACATTAAAGATATGGAGCTTGTCTAACCAGTCAAGACCAAGCAAATCCAAATCATGGTAGTTTGTAACGTAACATACACCATTGAAGTGATGCTCACCAAACTGAACCTGGCAATTTATCTCACCCACGAGTTTCAGTATATCTCCAGAGACATTCTTGGCGACATGCTCGGTCGGCAGAATCTGTGGGCAACCAAGTTTGCGCCACGTAGTTCGGGAAATTACGGTGATATCTGATGCCGTATCCAACTGAAGACGAATACGTTTGCCGTTAATATCTAGTGTTATGTACTTACGTTTGCTGGCGAACTCGACTTTGGAAGTAGTGAAAACGGTCTGTACTCGAGGAGATTGTTTCGGCTTGAAACGACTACTTCTGTTCCTCAC